GTATATATGTATGCGTGTATGTATGTAACATATATACACACAGACACCCACACTCACACAGACAGACAAGTAGCTCGCACCTGGTTGGGGAGGTATCTCTTGTGAGGTTCGATTCCTCACACGCGTGATATATTCACATACATAACCATACATTTTCACTTACATACCCAGTAATATAAACAAACATACACGCATACAGACACACCTACTTACCATGTGAAATATACTTTAAACTTTTATGGCAGTGGTATTCAAATCAGAATCAACTAATGTTTGTTAATGAAGCATCCAGAGATGCTAGATCAACGTTTCGGACACGAGGAAGGGGTGCTAAAGGTTAGAAGGTATTCGCAGTTATACCTATTGAAAGAGGTGTCCGAATCAGTGTGCTTGCTGGTCTAAACCTTGGTGGATTTTGTGGGTGGGGTATGACCAGTGGTACCTACGATTCGAGACCATTTTATCAACACTTCAAGGATTATGTCCTTCCTTGCCTTAATCCATGGCCGTATCCTAACTCTATAGTAATCATGGACAACGCCCGTATCCATCGAGCTGATATAGTTGCTCTTATTCAGTCGGTAGGTGCACTTTGTTTGTTCCTACCTCCATATAGTCCCTATTTAAATCCGATAGAAATGTCGTTCGGAAGGCTCAAGTTCTGGCTAGCCCGAGAATGTCAGTATTTTTTTGGTAAACTACCGTATGACTGTTTGAATGCGGCTCTAGAACTATGCCATGGTATAGAAAGTGGCTTCACAACTAGTTTAAGTGACTAGTTTCTCAAATGCTGGATACGCTATCGACGGAAAAGATTCTGAGATGGTAGTACTGCACAATCCAATGGGATATCGTTCATATGTCAGAAGATTACGGAATGAAGAAGACAATGATGACAATGATGATACCATAGAATCAAACGCAGAAGACGCGGACCTGGGTCTCTTCCTAGATTTGAACACGAACTTGGATGAGGATGCAGAGATTGATCTCACCAATTGGGAAATATAGAGTAGCACTAAACAATAAACAAGAAATACTTTAAAGTAGTATTCATATATTTATTTATTTATTCTAATCTATTGTATATTACATTGTTCTAAAGCACCGCAGTACTAACACTGTTCAATTAGCACTGCTTTCAATGATCTACAGCTTTCACACTTCCCCCCTACAGGCAGGTAGTAATTGAATACGTGCCTAGTACATACAATATCTAACCCTCTGAAACCCTATTATCCTCGGCCTGCCAAGTTCTGGCTTTCGCTGTGCTGTGTGTCTTCTAGATTACCTTGTCCTGCTGCTTTTGCATTCTTAGCGGCAGATATTCCGGGTCGCTCGAAGTGATCACCTGGCTGAGGCGCAGTATATTGTGCTAGGTATATACCCCTCATTTCAGTGGCAAGCTGGGCATACGGCTTTGTTTGCGTTGACCACGCCAATTGGTTAAGACGGTCTGTTCCAAGGCCTCTACTGTCCGTGCATCTATGGGATTCTCTACGGGCAATCCCATTCCAGCAATACCACTACTCTCTGGAATCTCTTCACTATAGGTTGGCCTATGATGCATATGGTACAGTGTAAAAGGAAGCCCCGTGGCCAAAAACATTTGCTGCGGGGCTACTAGAACATCCATGACTTCAAACTGTACTGAGCTATCTTCTAGTACCACTTTACGTTTAACTTGCATAGGCAACGTAAAGTCCTGATAAGTCTTCTGTCTGAAATTAGTTGCTCGTTCGCACGCATCCTGCTTCTCACGTAGCCGCTTCATGAAGTCATCGATCCTCCGTGTGGAATGCAATGCTTGTGACTCGGGTACCGCTTCATACACTATTTCTGTGGCATCTGGATTGTTGACACTGTTAACAGTACATGCATTGCGCGAATGTAATTGTGCCAAGAAACGCGCTTCGGTATCGCGATGTTTGCCTAACTTAGCATATTGATCAACAAGTACCCGCTTCGGTATCGCGATGTTTGCCTAACTTAGCATATTGATCAACAAGTACCTTCTGAGCTACAGCTGCATTCTGTCTTGTACCCCCTGTGGCTTTATCAGATGCCTTAGGCGGGTTAAACCAAAGTACGATTTACATACATCTATATCGTTTCTGTGTCGTTTGTTGTCCTTTCCTCGAATTCTTAGTAATTTGGTCAAAAGCTGATCGAAGTCTCATCTAAAGATTGTGATTAGTAATTGTTATGATAAGTATCTTGCATGCATCAGAAGCTCATTTACATGTATGTAAACATTTGTGGCATACACGCGCTGCAGTGAAGTAATGTAAGTGCTTGACGGGTAGACTGCTTGCATGCAGGTGCATGCGTGTGTTTGTGGGTGTGTGTGTGCACACGTGTGTGTACATGTGTATGAGTATGAGAGTGTGCATGTGTATGTGTATGAGTGGGTGCATGGGTGGGTGCTGTGTGCGTGCATGGGTGGGTGCATTACTTACCTTGAGTTGCTTGTCGGTATTTTCCTCGGGATTGTCTGCGTACAGTTTCATCCAGTTAGCCTCAACAGCTGAAGTGGATTCTTTGAGGTGAATTGTGGTTCTTGCCAACATGTCGAGAATGCTTGTAAGTGGTCGGACAAACCCCTGAACTTTGTTGACTAGAGTATCAGCGTTAGTTTTCCCACGACCTTTTGGCGTGGTCAACCATATATTCATGGCCTCATCAACCATCGATTTGATTAATGGATTTAGTATATCGATATCAATAAAGTCTTCCGTGTTCATGTGTTGTATGTAGTGTTCGGTCTTAGCACCAACATATGAATACACATAATCACATTCAACTTTCGCATCTGAATTATCTACTACACATAAAACCAAAGACTGAAGATCATCCAATTTCAAAGTGCCTGATCTTGTATTGAACTTAGAATACACAAATACATCCTTACTAACGTCTCGCTGATATTGCACTTCCTCGTCATCGCTCAATCCTAAATCTAAATCTAAATCTTCTTCGATAGTTGGTTGTGCTGGTTCCACATGTGTGTTGGAAGACGAATTTGTATGTGTGCTGGCTTCATTTGCTCTTGTGCTAGAAGGTGGGTTTGATTGAGTGTTGGAAGATATGCTAGTTTGTGCACTTGAAGGAAAATCTTTTGTGTACTAGATCATTTGGAAGTGCAATTTCTATTGGGGTTGTATACGGGAATTTCCCGTTGATTTTAGACCTCTTGATAGTTGATACAACGACTATATTGAATAACTTACGGCGCTTCTCTACTATTACTTTCATTGGGATCGAATCTTTTAATTTGGCGAAAGCTAGTCGAGTTTTTCTAGTCTGTACGTCATACGGCCCTGGTAGACAACGCTAACTCATACCTGTATAGCCAGAACCTTCAGTAGTGTCATCGCTGCGCATACAAAAAGCGTGGCACCCCTGTTGGCACAGTGCATTCATGAGCGTTAAGATTATCCTGTGCGCCCAACAGACAGAATGGGCAACCTGTCAAAGACATGGTCCACTCTGGTAAGGGTTCTATCAAGGTGGCTCTATGTGTAATGCGTGAATTGTCGGGTATATATTTTGATGTCCGAGCAGGTTGTGTCGTTGTTGTTGATGTTGATGACGTTGTTGTACTTGCTGATTTAGTTGAATTTGTCGTTGCCGTTGTTGTGTGTCCTGTTGCTGTTGGATGCTGTGCTGCTGCTTCTGGATGCTGTGCTGCTGTATGTTGTGCTGCTGGATGTTGTGCTGCTGGATGTTGTGCTGCTGCTGCTGGATGTCCTGCTGCTGCTGCTGGGTGTTGTGCTGCTGCTGGATGTCCTGCTGTTGCTGCTGGGTGTTGTGCTGCTGCTGGATGTCCTGCTGCTGTATTGTTCTCGTGTGTTTCATCGATGTTCATCGATCTTTTGTGTATACTCGCATTCTCTCTGTGTGTATATATTATCGTTGGTTGTCGTTGATTCGTGACAACGGTTACTTGTTTCCTCTGGGTGCGTGTTCTCATTGTTCGACGTTTGTACATTCGCCTCATACGTTTGTGTGTTCTCGTTGGTTAATGTTGATCTACGTGTGTGTATTTGTCTCGTGTACATGGGTGTTCCCGTTTTTTGATATTGATTGTTGTCTGTGCATATGATTGTTGTCTGTGCATATCATCCTCAAGCATATGTGTGCTCCCGTTATTAGACGATGTTTCATGGACATGGGATATTCGTGCATGCTTGTTCCCGTTGTGCGCAGTTGCCTCATTGGCGTGTGTATGCGCTTCTCGCGTGTTCGTATTCTGCGTGTTTGTGGATGCTGCACGAGTACGTATGCTTGTATTTTGCGAGTGTACATTTCCGTTGTTCGACGTATGGGTGTTTTGTGTATTTACATCGGTGTGTGTATATTCTTCATTTGTCATACTTTCACGTGTTTGTGTACTTGATTTGTAAATATGATCTTGTCCGTTGTTTGAGGCTTTGTGTGTATTCGTGTATGCTCTTTTTGTATGGGATGCACTTACTGAGTATTGTCATTTGAAACTCGCTGTATAAGTTGCGACATTGAGCTTCGCGTATGTCGTGTATATTGATCAATCGTTTGAATGGTTGTGGCACTCTACTACTTTTGTTAATCGTATACATTTGTTGTTGTTGTTCTGTTGTATGTTATTCTGGATTGCACATATTCGTTGCCGATCTCTTCGCTGATGTGCTAGTACGCCTTGCTCCCTCTGATTTAGTTGCTGATTCTTGTGCACATTCTGGATTTCACTAATGTATCTTCTACCCACTGAATTCGGCGTGCTATTTATCCTAGCTGATGTGTTTTTATATGATTGTCGTGACTGCTTGAGTTTTGTGAAAGGGGTTGTAGCTACTACTGGATATATCTGTGCGTGTGCGTTGAGAAGATAGAAAAGTAGGTAATATGCTAACAGCATGGTTTTGCTTTTCACATATTGCATCGTTTCTACTATCACTAATGTTGTTATCAAAGACATCTGACCTCTCCTTTGAATTTGAACTCTCCATGGCATCTGATCTCTCCATGCCATCTTGTGACCTCTCCATATTGAACATCAATGTGTGTATGTATACACAGCTACAAACTTCGTGGTGGATTAGCCATGTTAATAGTATCTACTACGCAAATGTCAAGCAAACGTGCACACTACTAGACTATATGCTGTTTGTTTACTGTGTAATAACTATACTAGCGATAAAATTATTGTTGTTACTGTGTGAACTATCAACTATCAAGCACCGCTTCAAAGCTTTTCGGCAACTTCTCAATTGTTAACCCGTGCTATAGAACTTTTGACCAAGGGTCAACGATCGTTGAGCACCGATCAACCTTTGTGCCGTTATAGTACAGTTGATTCTCGGTAGGATTTGGTACGATATTGTTCAAGAGATATGACCAAGATGCACACGGTACGGTGGTGATATATTTTATGAGAATGGGCAATTTCGTTGTTGTTTGTTTCATCAGGTGTAATCCTCAAAAAGGGCAATTTCGTTGTTGTCAGTTGCTGATTGTGATTAGTTCATAGTTAATCGCATAGCCAATAAACCCCTCTTAATACATATAAGGTGACCAAAAATCATAAATAGTTCAATATATTATGAATATCTCATTGGTTGAATATTTATTTTCTTCAATTTACTCCCGTCTCAATTACTACTAGTTTGTCTTCCAATGGCCAATCAAATCGTGTTCTGTGCCAGGCTCAAACCGGAAACATGGGGTGACGTCTCGCCAGAATATCTGGAAACGACAATAGCTATCTATCAACCCCACAAGAAGTTGTCAAGTGTCAACATCAATTTCGTGTTCTCTGCTGGTAATTTATGTATTTTCAAAAATATCAAAATACTGTCTCTCTTTGCAACACTGCATTCCATTCGTCTTCGTTGCATGGAACACCACAAAGTGGTCGTAGATCATAGTGCTCATGATAACTTGTTCGTTACAAAAGCGGCTAACATTTTTATGTCATGACCATACCACATTTCTTTGTTGATGTGCGTATTTGTTGCCGTTGTGTGTATATAGACCAAGGTACATATCTTGCGGGAGACAATCATGCTTTTCTCTTGTTGTATTTGGAATGCTTTCAGCACTGAAATACATCATGAGGCGCAACATAGGCAAGGTTCGTGATACTGTTTCATACTAGTGTGGTTCCACGAGTTAACAAACATTGTTACTTCTGTTGCCCTTCGATTCACCCGCGGCTCATATGCGGTTTTTAATCCCCATCTTCGTAGTGTGTAGTCTGTCTTGATTCTCGTCCGAACCGGAAGCTGGTGGCCTGCCAACCTGAAGATAAGGCTAGTCATATTCATCTGACATGTGTTGACTGCTTAGAGAAGCACATTCGTACCTGCTGCGCCGAGTATTACGTAGGGATTTGTAAAAATAGCGAAGGCTATACCCTCTGCCCCGCTGTGAATGAGTGTGGTTCCAAACCGTACTCCTTCAATAGGCTATCACAGGTTTTGAATCCGTGCATCATGGCCAATTATCTGGATTCTGTCAATTTCTTCAGGACGACGATTGCAAACTCCAGTGAGACATCTGGCGCTGCTGCTGTTGCAAGCTCGGACAGGAAAGAGTGCATACGTAAACATGTGCGACATATACAAGAAGAAATACTGAATCTTCGCTGTCCGAAGTGTATGCAGGTCTTTACCACATTTGATGGTTGTTTCGCTTTGCATTGCCATAGGTGTCAAACAGGTGTGTTTGTTATATTTTATATAAATTATCGAGTGCGCGATTTGAAAACATCAAGTGTGCTACAGAAATCACGAGTGTAATGCAGACATCGAGCATGAAGTAGAAATTCAATGCGACCAAATCTAAACAGACTTCATGGCTCCGTGTTTCTCAAAATCATCAACCTTTAACGAACAGGTTTCTGTGCATGGTGCCTTGGAGATTGTCATCATGACGCTCACGGCCATGTTAGTAATTGTATTCGCAATCCAAAGCATGGGACGAAAACTAACCATCAGTACTTCAACACCATCGAATGCTTTGAACAAGTACACATCATGCGGCGAGGGAAAGCCGTTGTGCAGTACGTTGCGAATATAGAAGACAAACGAATTGCACGCGAAGTAGCCGAATCGATCAAACCTGAATGCAAACGCCTCGGATTTAGTTTGGATTACGCGGCTAGTGAAGAAGCATTGAAGTCCGTGATGCCATGAACGAATACCTATTTACAGAAAAAAGATTGCCACATCGAACGGGCGGGAGTATACAAAATATCCGTGAAGGGGGATGAAGAGACCTGTCGAAGAGATGCCATATACTCTTGAATACGTAAAAGTAATTCAGCAGCTATTAAAAATCTCACAAAATATGATGTACGTCCGACACCTCTACAAGAGACGGCGTTATTACCGTCATGATCTGATTTCAATTTTGCATTTGTACATGCCAGTGATACAACAAATAAAGTATTCTCTCTCTCTTGTGGTCTATAAAATTAATAAATGGGTTTGGGAATCCTAATAAAAACCCAATATTTGCCACAGCTTTTTTCTTCGCCTAATACTTGAAGCCTTCTTCAATTTAAATATATTTAGATATGTTGCACGTAACTTTATAGTTTACACACAACCCTTCTCCCTCCAGGCACGCATGTAGACTGATAAGTATGGCAAGACAAGCACGCCCTTCAGCATGGAAAGATCCATCACCACCACAAGCAAGCTTATACGTTACACTGCTGATGGGCATAGTATCCTGGGCTGTCTTTGTAGGGTACCTCACATTTATATTATATATCGGCTGGTGTGGAATTGTCGAGACTAAGAGAGTTGAGGAGGAAAATTCAGTAGGTAAGATTTCTGCTCTATAGCTCATTTTATGTTGCCGTATTATTCGTATGGTGTTATGTGTGCGAAGCTCATGGGTAAACTTTCGCCAGTGGTGCGCATGGTTAATTGTGTGCTTCCATGTGTACACGGAGCCTCTGCGATGTCGTCAAAGCTGTCACGATTGACGATCCATCTTTAGCGGATACCAGTTAGTCGTTCGTCTCTTTCTGATGGATCTTTAAATAGTCATCACTGTACGTTTTGAAATGTGTTAATATATTCATGTGTTATTTATATGCTCTGCCTATTCTGAGTTATCGAAAACGGTTTAGGCCGCTTAGTGTCGCGTCAATGTAGTGTTTGCCTGGACAAGGGGCATGGTTTGTATGCTGGATGAAAATTACACGAAATGCCTGGCCATCCTGTTAACTTTAGTGACTAGTTTGCTACTTTAGACAAAAGGAAAAGGTATCTCGACATCGGAAATATTGTAAGTATTATATCAGACAGTCGATGTGACGCGAATCGTGTAACGCATAGTTATATGCTGTGCATCTATACAAGGTATTTCGAGTAGATCTGTATGAGCTCCCCACATCCCCCAGTGCAAAGTAAGTATACTTTTCTACGATAGTCTTTCTGCGTACATGAGGCCCTATAATTGGTGCCTAAATCTAGCACAAAAGGCTTCAAATTTGTATGACATTCACTCCTCAACTCTGATTTCTGTATAAAGTATTTTGAATTAGGGCTCTTGTTGCTCTTAAATTGGCGAGCTGCCACAGCAATCCCGCGACAAGTAACTAATGGTTTGGGAGGTCAACTTTCCAGTGAGAGAGGTTCATTTCATATATCAGAGGTTCACCCTGTTCCAAAGGCTTTGAAGGAATACTACTGTCCGCTCCCAGATACCACTCTTATGACGATTGGCGATTAGTCGTATTAAAACAATATCGGTTTATTCTTATTATGATTCATCTCGTTCTCGAGTTATCAGTCAACTCAACTGATATCTCGTTGTGACTGAATTTGCTTGGTGTGTATCAGAATGGGACAAAGTGCTACGAAACATCGGACTGCTCAGCGCATTCTCGCTGCAGCACAGTCTCATGGCGAGCGAGACAGTCAAAACATCTCTGGCGACGACTCTTCCCGTGGCTGGATGCCGGATATTATATTCCCTAGTATCATTGACCGTGCTTACGGTAAGTGCACCTTATTCTGAAACAGTGCGAGCGTTTCCATATAAACCATACGCCAGCCTGAGAACATTCGCCTTGTTTCTGTACGTGGGCCGTGGTTTGTTCGAGTATTAGAGGACTATACATTACTGCAAGAGACATAGTAACGTTCTTATACCCCTCTGTCTCACATGCCTATGGTGTGCATAACCATACGCTCGAACGTGCAAGCACCGGTTTCAGTTATCAAGGTACCCACCTCAGTGCAATATAAAGTTCTACTTAAAACCCCGATCTTGTTCTGTCCTCACCCGTGCCTTCAACGGTAAAAAATGTCGCCATCGTTGCGAATGTCACCACAACAGAGGACAAATGAAAAGATGTGATGCCGTATCCATGGGTGCACACTTCTCCACACAAACAAGGCACTCTGTGTAATGAGTCTGCTCTCTAGTGAGGATGTATACATTGTTGTGCTGCTAGGGATAGCTTCATTACCATTGCTATACCTGCCAATATTCCTGCGAATGGCGTGGGCCAGAAAGAGTGCCCGGGTTCAAGCTGTAATTGAGCGTCGAGTCCTTGCTATTTAAATCATAGTGTCTAAAGAATCTAAAAGAATTTATGATTCTTCTTCTGGTGTATTCCGTTTCCAATATTCTGATGTCTTAGAAGAACTGAGCATATCGCTACGAAACTCCATCTTAAATGAGTCTATCATTTTGAATCAATTTATATTGTTTTATGATTGTTTCAGGCGTGCGGTTGGCTATGGCAACAGAATAACCATGCGGTTTGGCGAGCGCATTGGGAAGGAACCGTAGAAGTTTGTCAAGCTGTATATGTAATCTCGGTTGCTTATGTGGCCTACACAATCCGTATGTTTTGTATGATACAGTTCTACACATATACATATATTAATCACATGTACACACACACACACACACATACACATACACACACACACGCACAAACACACACACACACACACACACACGCAATATAT